CCCCCCGCAGCGAAAAGGGGCGGGGAGCCATAGCCGGGCCATTCCTTGATCAAAGCCATATACTTTGCCATAGCCTGCTCCTGGTTCATCCTCTGGAGTTTTTTCCATTTGTCGATAATACTAGTCCTGGAAGCTGAGATTTCCTCTTTGACCCACATGTCTAACATCTGATCCTCCTCAACCTTCTGTTTGCTGACGGAGCCACTGCGAAAACTCCTCCGCAGCGTTCCTTCAAGGAAGCTGGCTCGTTTCTTCTCAGCCTTCTCTGCTGCAGTAAACGTTTTGGTAGACTGAGTAATCCGAGACTTCAACTTTTGCAGGGGATAGACTTCCTCCATTCCTGGTACTGCGGTATGCGGAGTGTGATCGCCCTGAAGGTACTGAAGACGCAAAGCGGCAAGGACCTGGAGGGTTTCTTCAGGAGCAGGGTAATGTCCTCTAATCACTGCTTCGTGAGCCTACCAAGGGGAAAAAGGTAGCTTTTAGGTACAAAGCAGTCTTTGAAAGGACCAAGAGAGAAATGGGAAGCAGATTTACCACCAGGCAAGCCCAGGATCTGAAATAAAGGATCCATTGAATAGATCAAATGTGGCAAATCTCTTGGCAAATGTGTTGAACCGGGTAAGAGATTGTTTACCAGAAGACCTGCAAGGCAATTGAGGAACTTGCTGAACAGGAATTACTGTTACTAGTACAGCTGTTTGTGAACTCACATCTGTAAGAGCAAAAATATGATGTAAAGGGGAGAAAATCAGGATCTCGGCACCTGATCATCAGAAAGCCACCTGTGTTCAGAGGCATTAGGAGGAAACGGATATCCAGTTTTGCTTGCTGCTATCAATAATCTGGCTGTGATAGCTGACGTTTCCACCAAACAAGCCAAACCCTGGAACAGCTTTGCAATACACCTTACTGAAGGAAAACAGTAAACCTTTCCCAGATAAAGTTCCTGGAACAGCTTTGCAAAAAACCTTACTGAAGAAAAACAGTAAATCTTTCCCAGATAAAGTTAGTGAAAGGTTTAAGCATTATAGTGGTCTGGAGCATCAGGGATGAGATTCTGCACCCAGAAAACTCTTGGCAATTGCAGCTCTTTGCACACCCATTCAAGCCTTTGGAAAGGTGCAGCAGCTAGGATTTGTCATGACACCACATAGTAGAGGAAACAAACACACCTCCTGTCTGGAGATGCGAGGGCTGCAAGCATCTTAGCAAACACCCAGAGATAATTCACACCTACGGGAGAGCCAGGTCCTTTAGGTGTGCACTTAGGGTGGGGACAAAACATGCCTTTAGACGTGTGAGATGGTTTCCCTGGGATTGCTCCCACGCAGAAGAGCCAGCCATCTTGTGGAAATGCAAGTACAGTATTTTAATGACAAAGAACTAAAAGATTTTCTTCACTGCTTTACGAATTAAAAGGACTTTAAAGCAACGGAGGTTACAGAGCTAAAGCTGGTGAGCAACGGGTACTTCCTTAATCAGCTGAAAAAAATCGAAGACTGATGTTGAAAGCAGACAGTTAGAAAAATAAGAACAGAACTGATGTATAGGAAGTCACGTCTTCAAGGTATTGCTGTAATCATATGGACTGAACGTGCCATGCTTTGTAACTGAAATACTACTGGTCTTGGCAGGACAAAATATTTGGCTAAACACCAGTCAGTACAGAATGCTGCACGAAAACAATCTGCTTCGGCAAATGTGCCCATTTCTGTTGTTCATATGGAAAACTACTCAAATTTGACTCTTAAACCAATACCGTAGTGCAAAATACCTGATGCAGAGCTCTCACGGATTTTGTTCTTACCGTTTAAACTTCATCCCAAAGCAGACAGGCATTAACTGGCCGACTCTATGTAAAGCCAGTCAGAGTGGCACCATTTCTACGCCAACCAAGGCAATCTATTGCCCAGACCCTTCAGCCAACAATAAGCAGTTCTGGGTTGCGCTACAGTAGCAGGTTCTGGAAGGAGACTTTTGGCAAGACTCATGATGGAATACGGTGCCTTAAAACCTAAATGGTGAACAAGGAAGAAATGCTCAACCACGGTGAAGATGTTTCTGATCCGGTGGAAGGGGAAAAGGCTTCCTACATAAGAAAAGTGAAATATGCCCGTTCTTGATCACACCAGGCTTGCTTACCAACAGAACGTCAGTGTCTTGGCAAAGAGCCTTATGCAGAAATCTTCACCTGTCTCTAGTGCCCACTTGAAAGAAGCTGTCCACTGGAAGAATTTTTAGCCATTTGCAGTGTAGTACAAAAGGAGAAGGTCGAGCAACAATAATGAGTACCATTAGTGAGAGCTTCTGAGCAACTACAGGACTTCATATGATAGAAATCCAAGTGCTGACACGTTTAATTCTCATTATAAATCCATTTCGCTTACGAGTTGCAACATGGCCTCATTCCAAGCTCGGCACACTCGTTAAGTGGATTTCTGCTCATTGCAGCTGTCTTGCGGTTACTGCTGAGGCCGAACTGATTTGTTTTGCTGTGGTGCCTGTGAAATCCCAATCGCTTTTTGAAAAGGGAAAAAGCTATTGTTCAGTTGGTTCTGTACGGTTGCCAACATGAGTCTCTAATAGTTAATCTGCTTGCCAATTACACACTTTTCACTTTATTTCTTGCACTTTAAGAATATGGTTTAATAAAAGCAAAATTAAAAGCGAGTATTATCCTTTTTTATCCTGCTTAGACCCAGTTAGCCAATTTTTTGCCACTATACCTAAAGCTATTCACAAGTAAGGAAAGTGTAACTCTCGGTAAATCATAGGTGCCTGGCTTACGTCAGGGTAAGCCGATTTTGTCCACTGAACTGCTTTCTGTGTACCTGATGCTTGAGTAGTAGCGCATTTAGTTAAACAGAAGCATAACCGAAACTCTCCCTGTGCTACCTCGATCTCTTAATTTTGAACTCCTCTTAAAAGTGCTTCAAAATGGAACCTTTGTCCTTTACCTGCTCAAACATAAAGGCAAATTCCACGCTATCTTTTGGGACGTTTTCTGTGTCCAGGAAGCAGTAGAGCTTGAAGTAGAACTTCCAGTGCATCTCCCCAGCTTCAGCAGTGGCAGCAAGCCTGCGTGGAGGTGTGAAGGAGAGAGACATCAGATCTGTGAAATCAAACTCGCTTTCTACATTGACACCTGAAGGATCTACGCAAGGCATCGGCTGAATTTTGCTTTGTTACACCCACCATCAATCTGGTGTTGCAGGCAGGAGCTAGTTGTTTTGCAGAAGCACACCTGACTGATGTCATTTGGAGATACATCTCTAGCGAGAGGTAACTGTACATGTGCATGTAATAAGAGCCTACAGCAAAATCAAGGACTTGGAAATGTTGACTCAGTTCTCAGTCAACTGTTTCTAACCCAAATTCTCTTAATAAACTTATTTGTGGCTCAGTCATGTGCTGATAAAAGCAACATTATGAAGTCCTGTTATAAAAATGTAATTGCACAACACTCCAGACATTCCTGTCTTCCCCACGTTACCATGTGGATAAAGGAGGTCGATTGCCATGCACATACCACATGGATGCCAAACAGGTATTTAGACTTGCATTACATTTTCTCACTACAGTGCGATGGGTGGTTTCAATTTTACTGGTAAGAAAAATGCTGTGAGCTGGTAACTTCCATGTGAAGTTAGGCAACGGGTAGTCAGAATGGTGATGGCCGCCCAGAGTCCAGTTCTCCCAGTACCGGGGCAGCCACAATGCCCGTAATGGTGGGAAAAAATGGAGTAGTGGAAAGGAAAAGGTGGCAATAGTCATGAGAAATATTACTCCACTGGTGTCAAGACGGAGGAAGACCAAACACGAGTGAATAGGTGGTTCATTAGTTCCTTTAAGAAAAACAAATAAAGATGCTTTTGTTGCAGAAATGGCCAAGAGTGTAGTTCAGCTGCGTCATCGCAAACAAGCAAAAGAAAGAGAAAATTGAGCATTATCGACACTGGAAACTTAATTAATTGCTACTTATTAGAGCGGGGAGAGAGAAGGCGAGGCGCACTCACTTTTCAAACTTTGCCAAGACATCAGCCACGATGGTTCTGCTTTCAATCGCTTTGTCAGTAGTCCCGTTGTATTCAAACAGAGCAAACATGTTTCTGCTATCCTCCATGGCCAAGCCACGAATCAACTTTTCAACCACCTAATAAGAGACAGCACATGGAAAAACCATACGACGGAAAAGCAACACCACAAAGCAAGAGAAGAATAATGAGAAGAAAATTCAGAGCTAGGTTTTACATCAGGCTAAAAATGTCGCCAATGTGCCCTCATCAGCAGTATTAATTGTTGTCAAATTCTACTTTAATTTTTGTGTTAAATCATAGAATGGTTTGGGTTGGAAGGGACCTTAAAGACCATTATGCTGATTCTTTCAGAATATGCGTGTGCTATCACCTGGCCAGACACAACCCCTGTGTTTCACCAATTCAGCAAGAGTCTCCCAGCTTTAGGAGGCAATTTGGCTCTCACACGCCCCTGTATCTACTGAAGTTATTTCCATATCGGCTCTACCAAACTGCTTAATCTGTCCTCTAATTTCTCCAGTCGGAGGGAACTACAGTGGGGTAACCCTCTGCAGAATAAAGACTTTTCTTTATAGCAGGGATTTCTTCAGAGCACACTGGGGGGTTGGAGCTCTGTAAGCCTTCCCTCCCCTCAAAGGACAAACCGATGGAGAAACCCCCAGCGCTTCCAGTTTAATGGTACCATTGGCCGGAACTGGCAGGTAAAGGGACATGCTGATTTTGTGCCAAAGCCGTTCCGTCACCACGTTTCATCACCACCACTCACCTCGCCAGCTGTAGTGTGCGAGTTGATTGTGATCTTACAGGAGCCCCCACCGTGGCAATACACGGTGGATGTCATTTCCTGCCTGCCGATCAGAGCTTCTATCTCATCCCGCGATGGCACAAACTCTCTGCACTTGGTTTTCTTCAGAGATTCATAAGTAAAAAGGGCGTATTTCTCCATTTCAGTTCCTGGAAACTGGTCACGAACCCTGTGGGACAAAGATTATTAACTTTAAGCTGCCAGTTTGTGAAATCCAAAGTGTACTTATTTGAGAACGGATGTTTTCCCCGAGAGTACTCACGTATCCAGTTCGCTATCGAACTGGCACGGTCAGAGGTTTGCCTTTGCTGCCAGGGACAGTGCTCCAACTTGTGATTAACCATGGGGCAACTGGTGTGGGCTCATCTTTTCTTCTACAAACCTCAGGGAAAGCAACAACTGATCTACCTTTATAGAATTAGCTTCCAAAACCCTGTAATGGCTCAGCTTTGACAGCAAGGCAACTATAAAACTCTTGTAACCAACTCCCCTTTTTGTCAGTAAGAGTTGCCAAAGGAAGACAAAACTGCGCTGAGGTACTTGGGAAAAGAGCAGTAAAACATACTTTTGACTGCTCAGTTTTGTAGTGCTGTCACTTAGGATACTTGATTTCTAGTCCTGATTTTCTTAAAGATTCTCTCTAGACCTTACTGTTCCAGCAGTTAGTGTTATGAGCATTTGCTAACAACATTAATGACCTCAACTTTTAATTAACTGAAAACTGTTGGATTCAAGTAGCTTTCGGTACAGAGCACTTCTATATTACTTTCAATGATACTTAGAGCTACTAAGGTGTGCTGGGTTCAGTCATGAAAGA